GATGTCTTTTTTGTCATAAAAAACAAGATTTGTTACACATGATTAATGTACGAATAAATGCATGAATGAACTCATCGTTGTTTTTAATACTAGATCCCTGCATTTGAAATACATGATCCGCACGCGGAGCATGTATTAAAAACGGCACTGTATGAGCATCGCGTATCCGACCCCCCTCCCCAGCGGCGTGGCCTGGGCCCCACTGGCCGACTTACCCCCCTAGATGGGGGTACAGGCCGTTCCCTTCGGGTTTCGAGGGGTGTGCACCCAACTGGGGGGTACTTTGGTGGGGGTCTCGAAGGGGATGAGGATGGGGATCGGGGTCGGTTAAACGATACTGAGAGTAACGCGTGTTCTCCCTGGAGCCTATGAAATAACAGTACCGAAGCGGCTTCTGTGCAGGGCCTGTGCAAAACCACAACCTCGCGCGCGCTAGCAGCGGGGGCCGCACGCGTGGGCTGAAGGAAGATCTCGCGCGGGGCGCCCTGGCCCCCACGAAGTGCGGAGGGAGACGATTAGGGGATCAAGAGACTTGCAAGCCATCCATCGCTCCGAACGAAGCTTAGCAGAAGAAAAAACGCCATAGACATAAACTTGTGGTGCTCCGCGCAGATTTCTTGGATCCGCGCGGGACCCCCCTGCCTGGCGCGCGGAGCGCGCCAGGAGCGGCGCGAAAGGCGCCGCGGGGGGGGGGCCGGGCGCGGATCCAAGAAATCCGCGCGGAGCGCCAAAAGCTTATGCTGATGTGGTGTTGTCTTCCTTCTCCGAATTGCAGGACGTCCATCGCTGATCGACTGCGCTCTGTGGGCCCGTTCCCTTGGTCTTCCGAGTGCACGGCCCCCCGGCCGCGCCCCGAAAACCCCGCACCTCGACCGCACCTCTGCCGGGCCATCGAGGCCGTGCGGCGCAGCGGCCCGACACATGTCAGGGGCCTCGGGGCTGCGGTCGGGGCGTTGGCCTTGTGGATGCCATGGCAACGGACACTCCAACAATCCGATCATTGAATCAAAAATGTGTTCAAAATATGTAAAACATGTTCTAAAAGTGTTTCAAACATGTGTTTTAAAAAACATGTCTAAACCATATATGAAACATGTTTATACATCTGGAAATTGTTTGGCAACACTCTTTCTCTCCATTGACCGACTTCCACAACGTTGACCTAAGGTACCCCAAATAAGGAGCGAGGCCCCTTTTTCCCAAAGGTTGAACTTCGATCTCCCATGGAAAACTTCAGGGAGCCCCAAGGCAAACTGCACAACAGTCAAGGAACACCGAGCCCCTCCCCAACGAGGAGGGTTCCTTCTTCAGCGCTCCGACTGTATTCAGCCCGCACACGAGCGCACCCGCAGGGTCAGCTCTCGCCGAGGGCCCAAAGACAACGAGCCAGCCTTCTCACTGAACTCGGGCCTCAGCCAACGACCCACACGGGACGTCGAGCTTGGACGGGAGGGAGGCCGTGGAATCAAGGTGCAGGCCCCGTCTGAGACTGCTTCTTCGGGTCGCCAGACCGCGCGGAATAAGAGGACGAGGATAAGCATGAGAGGAAAGATGAGGAGGAGGAGGAAGGATGAGGATGACGAAACAAGAGGAGGAGCAGGAGAGAGGAAGGAAGATCAGGCAGACGAAGAGGACAGAGAAAGGGGGAAGGAGGCGGAGGAAGAGGGACGTTGACAAGGTAGGTGCGCTCGCGCCAGATATGATATCCTACCCCTCCCACCCATGCCTTCCCATTGCGCTGCGATAGTTCTATCCAACGACGCGTGTGACAGCGGACCTGAACTCCAAAGAGAACACCATCGTGGTGTGCGCAATCCGAGAAAGGAACTGCGTACTTCTGAGGTGGCGGATGAGCAGGAGAATGCGCAGGAGGAAAAGGAGGAGGAGGACGAGAACAAACAGCAGCAGGAGCTAGAGTAAAGGAGCAGGAGGAGCAGCAGGACGAGGGTCGGGCGGAGGAGGGGAAATGAGGTGGGCGGCAACGATGAAACAGAATTCGAATCCAGGAAAGTGGCCCGCGCTGTGGCGAGAGAGCCAGTCTGAACGACGGGAGCAAAGCGCCGATCCGAAAATGAGACCCACGCTTCAGCGGGAGCACTAGTCAAACGGATCTCAAAACCATGGAAACAGCTTTTGAAATCCTGCGTGTGACAGCAGTGCGCGGAGAGGGCCGAACATCTTCTGGGCAGAGTCATGGGAGAGAGGAGTACAGATTCATCATGGGCAACTGTGGAGGAGGAGGAGGAGGAAGAGGAGGAGGAGGAGGAGGAGGAGGAGGATGACCATAACGGAGGAGGAGGAGGAGGAGGAGGAGGAGGACCAGAACGGAGGAGGAGGAGGAGGAGGAGGAGGAGGAGCAGGGCCGAGAACGGCGATGAGGGGAGGGGTAGAAAAGAACAGGAAGAAGGAAAGAGAACTAGGAGGAGGAGGAGGAGGAGGAGGAGGAGGAGGGAAAGATGAGGAGGACGATGACGAGGATGGAGAGCGGAGGAAGGAGGAATAAGGAGCAGCGAGGCGCAAGGGGCAAGGAGGAGAGGGGCAGGGAAGGGAGGATGACGAAGGGAGGAAGACGAGGAGGAGAGAGGAGGAGCGAGGAGGAGGAGGAGGAGGAGCGAGGAGGAGGAGGAGGAGGAGGAGGAGGAGTGAGGAGGAGGAGTGAGGAGGAGTGAGGAGTGAGGAGGAGCCCCCGCCTCCCACGTCTTCCTCGTCCTCCCCGCGCCTGCCCCCGCTCCCGCCCCAGGGGCCTGCTGGCACTCGGCGGCCAGCCGCGCGCACTCGGCGCCGGACGCCTCCGCGCAGCGCCCGTCGCGCCGGACGCCTCCTGCTCCTCGCCCTCGCCTGCCCCGTCCCCCCCAAGCGTCCATCCTCGTCGAAGTAGTTCCTCCTCCGTCTCCTCCACTTCCTGCTCCTCCTCCTCCTCCTCCTCCTCCTCCTCCTCCTCCTCCTCATCATCATCATCATCATCAGCAGCAGCAGCAGCATCATCAGCATCATCATCATAATCATCATCATCATCATCATCATCATCATCATCATCATCATCATCATCATCATCATCATCATCATCATCAGCACCATCAGCATTATCATCAGCACCATCAGCATTATCATCAGCATCATCAGCAGCATCATCAGCATCATCATCATCATCATCAGCAGCAGCATCATCCTCCTCCACCTCCCGCTCCTCCACCTCCTGCTCATCCGTCTCGGTCTCCTCCTCCTCATCCTCCTCCTCTCCCTCCGTGTTGGGTTCCATCCTCAATGAAAAGTATAAGAATTCATCATGACCAAGCTCATCATGACCACAAACTTAGACGACGTATGGCACGTATCATTGAGAAGATAAACCGTGTTGGTACTCATCATCACCACCTCAATCCTCGGCATCCGTTCCATCATGCCGCTGTCGCCATTGGCATCGTTATCATCATCATCACCGCCGTCATGTTCATCATCAGTACAGCCGGCATCAACATTTTCATGTGTTCACCACGATCATAACCATTCACAATACCGTACAAGATCACATACTTTCATACACAATCACCATCATGATGCCCTTACCCGTCCTGCTCTGCCGGCTTCTCTTCCGCCTGTTCCTCCTCCTCCTCCTCACCCATCCTTTCTTTTTAAAGATACCTTTTTTTTTCATGTCGCATCCGCACACGTGTCGGTAAGGCGTGTACAGCGTTTCGCCTAAGATTCCTTTACACGTATGATCATGAATTTTGCCATGTGCAACAGCTTCCATGCTGGAAACGGGTGGCGGTCAAACTCGTATGAACGCCGCGCGCACCCGCCTTAAAAACCTGCGTTGGTTTCAGGGATGGAGAGCGGTGCAGCAGCTTCAATGGGGGGTGGCGGTCCTTTTCCATATTGTGGTTTTCGCGTTAAGCCCGCGCATATGGACCGTGAAAAATTACAGCAGCTGCGAAGATGGAGGGTGGTTCTTTTTGAAAGCGTGGTAATGCCCGATCCCTGCGCGCATTCGTCTCTAGATTGCACACCAACTTCAAGAATTGACCGCGGTTCCTTTTTCGATACGTGGTTCTCGCGCTACCCCACGCAAATCCGCCTGAAAGTCCGCAACCGTCCCAAGAATTCGACACGACAGTCTCGCTGATTCGCGGAATTCCAAAGTCCCAGGAACGGCGTCCTGGCACGATGTCGAATTGTCAGGACGCAGCACTTACGGTGATCTGCGGCAAGGAGATCGTAGGAGTGGTGTTTTGGCACGATTGAAGATTCTCGGATGGTTGTATTCCAATGGGACATTTACCGCAATGAAGAGGAGTTGTTGCTGGGACCTATGAAGACGGAGTTCGGAGGGAGGGTGTTGTGTAACACCGATGATGTATATTGAATTAGCATTGGCCTTATCCCTCTCGCAATCGCTGGGCGCGTCAGTCATGCACCCCCGCGCCCGCCCCGCGCCGCGCGCCGCGAAGTCTACACAGAGGACACCCCTTCTGGAAAGGGAAGGAAGGAGGAGAGGCCACCAACTCTCTTTGATACACCTGAAGCCACCGAGGAAAAGGGGAGGGGGAGAACGGCGGGGCCAGTCCAGGGATGTCGTAGCGGCTACTGGTGACGCAACGCCCTGCCTGTGGTAACCATGCCATACATTGTCGGTAACGCTGTGGACGACATGCCCGTTCGTCTTCTCATCAGCGCGTGAAAGCTGTAGATGTGATATTATGTATGAAGCGACGCACGCGGTAAAAAGCCTTGTCCGTAACGCTGTAGAACGAATACGACCACCATAGTTCAAAACATAGTATTCTGGAAACCCATCGGCGGCTCGTGACAGGCTGAACTCGCGCTAGAGCTAGCACCTAATGCCATCCAGCCAGCGGACTGTCGCAGACATTTCGTCCAGCTTCTCCACGACGCAATCGTGGTACGTATTGCCGAGCCCGCTTGCCCTGTACTGCGTCGCCGATGGCGATCGGCCTATGGGTAGTCCAAGTCTTCCGCCGTGGATAAAATAGTTCTGCTTGCGGCTTTGGATGCTCGGATTGTGGTCCTCGTAACATTCCAGGTGGAGTTCGCGGCTCTGCCGATGGTTCCCGAAGCTCTGCTCGTAGCCCTCGTGGATGAACTGGTGGCTCCTGTATCTCGCCTGGTATTCCTCGTAGCTCTGCCGGTGGCCCTCGTATCTGAGCTGGTGGCCCTCGTGATTCAATTGGTGGGCCTCGTAATCCTGCCCGTGGCTCTCGTAGCTCAGCTCGCGATCCTCGCGGCTCAGCTTGCGACTCTCGTTGCTCTGCTGGTGGCTCCCGTAGATCGGCAAGTGGGTCTCGGAGCTCTTCTGGTGGCTCTCCTAGCTGTGCCTGTGGCCCTCGTATCTTAGCTTGTGGCACCCTAAATTCGTTTGGTGGCCTTGGCAACTCTGCCGGCGGCTGTGGTAGCTCGGGTTGAGGCACCCGCGGGGGCAGGGGAGACAGGCTCCAAAGCGGCCAGGAAGTAGTCCCGAGGGCACGCTCTCTTCGCAGTCCCCAAAATCTAAGTCGGAGTCGTCGGCTGCCAAGTCGTGGTGATCCATATTCTGGATGTCGCTGTGGTCCTGGCGGTTGTCGTAGCCCCAGGCCCGTCGTAGTCCTGAAGCCTGAGCAGACCTGGGGTTCGTAGGAGTACGCGTCGCTGTCGAAAAAACTGTCGTAGTAGTACCCGTCGTTGGCGGTACGGCCGTAGTCGTACTCGTCGTCGGCGGCGCGGCCCTTGTCCACAAATACCTCCAAAACGACGTAATTAATAACCCCTTGGGGCTGATCAGTCGAGTCGTTCCTTAGTACTCGTTTTGGTAGCGAATTTTGTGCCGTGATGGTGGTGGTCGTCGTTGGGCTGACTGTTACGCAAATGTCGGGTCGGGGCTGTATGTGACGACGGACGTTGTACCCCACTCTTTTTTGGGCCGCGTCTGTTCACGCCCATGTTCCTCTTTGCGTGTGTAGTCTCGGCATTATTGCTGGTACGTCTACACAAACGTGGGTAAGTCTCGGGAGCGCCAGCTCATAAATCTTGAGATGATGTCTGTGGATCCTAAAGTTTTGCCTGTAGGTTTGGAAGTTCCGCCCGTAGATATTGACGCTCGGCCTCTAAATCTTGAGGTTCGGCCTGTAGATTTTGCGGTTCTGCATATGGATATTGACGTTTAGACTGTAGGCGTTGGTCTTGTTCACGAGCGTACGCGCGCAGCCACCGTGGCGGCGGCGCGCTGAAGCCAGCCCCCCCACAGGCGAACGCGCGCCGCCAGGCGCGGCGCACACGGGCAACTGCGGAGAACAGGGTTCCCGCAAGCGGCCTTTGACACTGATCCTCCTTTTCCTCCTTTTCCTTCTCTTCCTCTTCCTCCTCCTCCTTCTCCTCCCCCTCTCCCCCTCTCCTCCCCATCCCCTCCCCGCAGGCCCCGCCCACGCCAGGCCAGGAGAGCAATGACCGGGCTTGGGGCTCGCCGCAAGCAGACGCCGCCCCGGAGCCATACTGGACTCCTGGCATCCGGCCGCGGCGGGGGCGGCGCCCCGACGCCACTGCTTCGCGATCGGAGCCGGCCGCCTCCCCGCCTGCGCCGCCTGCCGTCGACACGCACCGCTTGGACAGGTGGCTTCGGAGGCTTCCCGACGGGGGCCTCCCCACAGACCGGATCGTGCTGCACCGGGCGTTCGCCTCCCCAGCGGGCGCCCCCCTGATGGCCACCGGCAAGTGGGGTTGCGTGCTGAAAGACTCCCGGGCGGCGTGCTGCTGCAACTCGGGAACGAAAGGGGCGCGGTCCATGTGTGGTTCCGCAAAGGTGGCCGCGTCCACGTGTCGGCCGGCACGGGTGTCACGGAGCAGATTCTGGCCAAGTTGGAGGGCTGGACCGTGCCGTGAAGCAACGGCAACCCGCCCGCCCCGCCAGGGCCTGGCGCTGGCTGTCAACAGGGGCTCCCGCATCTGCCGCCCCTGCCGCCCGCCGATTGGTCGCCCCCGCCGGCTGCGCGATCAGCCCCGCGTCACGCTGGGACCCCCCGTGGCCCCCCGTCGCTCCTCTGCCCCAGGTCCTCCTCCCGCCTCCCGCCCTCTAGGATGCGGCCCCCGTGCGCCGGTTTGGCAGCAGTCAGCGCTTGGGCAGGGTAACCGCAGTAAGCAATTAAGAAGCCCCCAAGGGTTCTCGTTAGCACCGCACCGTAACTAAATAATAATTATTGGGGGCGGATTTCGCGGAACGATATCTTTAGCACCGCGCAAAATAAAAGGAAAATATATAATGGGAATATGTAGGATTCCTAGATATTCCGATTCCCCTCCTGACTCGAGCCAGGATGTCTCAGGCGAGGCGCTTGTTTCAGAACCACACGGAGTCCAGATTGCGACAATGTTTCAGGCGGTTTCCTTGTTTCGGCGGGCAGACTCGTCTGCGTTCTAAGCAGGTTGCGAGGTGCCAGGGTAACGCTTCCAGGGTGCTGGCGCGTTATACTTTCGCCGGAGAGGGGGGGGCTTTCTGAATTGCCTCTCCGGGTTACTGCATTGACGCCGCCGCACATCGAGGATTGCGAATAAGACCCGCGCAGGATGTATGAATCCCTTCATCCGCCCACAGCAACCCGCTTAGGAAAAACACCATCTCCCTCCTCGCACCCCCTCTCCTCCCTCCCTCCCCCCCTCCCTCCCTCCCCGTACCACCCGGTGCAGGGCTGGCTCGGGTGGGTCGGGCCGGTGTCGCGCGCGGAGGCCCCGCTCTCTTGCCGTCTTTGCTGCGCCCAGGGGGGCGGTCAGAGCGTGCCCCCGGAGGAGGAGGAGGAGGAGGAGGAGGAGGAGGAGGAGGAGGAGGAGGCGAGCGGACGGAGCTGCCTGCCACCCCGGGCGTCCCCTTCGTCGGCCGTCGCCGGTCGCCGTCGCCGCTCTGCCGCTGCTGCCGCGGCCGTCGCCGCTGCTCGTGCTGTCGTCGCCGCCGCCGCGCCGCCGGCGGCGTCGTCGCGCCGCCGTCCTGGTCGTCGTCGTCGCCGCCGCCGCCGTCGGTCCTTCGTCGTCGTCGTCGTCGTCGTTTTCGTCCTCGCCCTCGTCGGTGTCGTCGTCGTCGTCGTCTATCTCTTCGTCGTCGCCGCCGATCGGCCTTGCCTCCGCCGCTCCGGAGGCGCGGACTCGGCCGGTCGGGCTTTCCGTGGAGGTTGTCGGCAGGGGCGTTGGGCGGGGACCGTCACGTGGCCGGGGCTCCAGGCCGAGTCGAGGGGGCGGATGGGGCCTCCCTGCCCGGGCCTGCTCTCCCGGACGCTCCTGCGCTGTCGTCCCCTCGTCCTGGAGGTGTGGCCGATGTGTCGCGCTGGGGGGCCGAGGCTGGCCTTCGCCGTCGCTGGCTCGCGGAGGTCCCCTTGGGCTGCGGGGTCTCTCGGCGGCCTCCGGGGGCCGTCTGCGTCCGCCGCGAGGGGCCCGGGTGGAGTCCTGGCCCCTCGAGGCTTCGGGTGTCCCGGAGGTCTTGGGCGGCGTCGTTGGCCTGCGGGAGGTTTTCGGGGGCTCCTGAGATCTCCGTCGGGGCTCCTGAGGTCAGGTGCTCTTCTGGATGGAGTCCTTCCCCGGGGGAGGGCTCGACTGCCTGCGAGCTCCTGCGTCCGTCGGAGGTCCTCTCGCCCTCGTCCTGCTCTCCCTTTCTTTTCGATCCTTGGAGGGAAGAGTTCACACTCGCCCTCCCTCCAACCCGCCTGGGTTCCCAGGAGGGTGGGTCGGGTCGGACTGGTCCTCCCTCCTCTCTCCTCCTCTCGCTAGGGGTGGTTTCCTCTCCCCCTTCCTGTCGCCGTCCCTTACCTGAGACGTGCGTCGACATGGCAGCGTAGGAGGGATCGGACGAGCCCCGGGCAGGATCACCCCTGCCCGGCACCCCCGCCCCGCGGGGCGTCCATGAATTGCCTCTCCCGCTTCGCGCCCAGCCGGGGGTGGAGAGTCGGAGTCTGTCGGGGCGGTTTATCGGCTGAGGGTTTGGTTCTGGCCTGTTTCTCTTGGGGCCTGCCTGTGGGCCCTTCGGCTGCGGGGCCCGAGGTTCCTTGTTTCTCCGGGTTCCGTCTCCGCCGTCGAAGTTCCGACAGCTCCCCTCTCGTCCCCTCCAGCGCTGGTGGTTTGGCTTCCAGGGCCGTCGCAGCACGGACGCTTCCGAGCCCCCCCCAGGCCGTGGCGCCATGCTGAAAGGGGGCTGCGTCCGAAGCTCCCGAACGCCGGCTCAATGGGAGCACCACCAACCAACCAACCTCCCTCCCTCCCCCCACCCCTCCTCCCTCCCTCCCTCCATTCCTCCCTCCCACTCCCTCCCTCTCCCTTCCTTTCCTCCCTCCTTCCCTCTCATCCCACCTCCCCCTGCACTGCCCCTTCCAGACGGGCGCCCCCTCCGCGGCGATCCCAGCGCCGCAGCCAAGGCGCCTCCAGGTGCTCGCGCGCCTCCGCCGCGGCAGCCTCTGCACGCGACAGGGCCGCGGCGGCCTCCTCGCGCTCGCGGGCGGCAACCGCGCCGTCGTGCTCTGCCTCCGGCCGGGCGGCCCCCTTCCTGCCACCTCCCCCAATACCCTCCCTCCCTCCCCCCCCCCCATCCCGCCCCCCCCCCTTGCTGCACCTCCCCATTTCCCTCTCCCTAGCTCGTCCTCCTCCTCCTCCTCCTCCTCCTCCTCCTCCTCCTCCCCGCCTCTCCTCCTCCTCCTCCTCCTCCTCCTCCTCCTCCTCCTCCTCCTCCGAGCTGAGCTTGATACAACGCATGCTTCAAATTTCCGCACCCTTTTGGCAGGGTTATCCTCCTCCTCCTCTCCTCCTCCTCCTCCTCCTCCTCCTCCTCCTCCTCCTCCTCCTCCTCCTCCTCCTCCTCCTCCTCCTCCTCCTTCCTCCTTTCTCATCTTCACCCTCCTCCTCCTCCTCCACTTCCTCCTCCTCCTCCTCCTCCTCCTCCTCCTCCTCCTTCTCCTCTTCCTCCTAATCCTCCTCCTCCTCCTCCTCATCCTCCTCCTCCTCCTCCTCCTCTCCTTCCTCCTCCTCCTTCCTCCTCCTCCTCTTTTCCTCTCCTCCTAATCCTCCTCCTCCTCCTCCTCCTCCTCCTCCTCCTCCTCCTCCCTCCTCCTCCTCCTCCTCCTCCTCCACTTCCTCCTTTTCCTCATCTTGATACTCCTCCTCCTCCTCCTCCTCCTCCTCCTCCTCCTCCTCCTTCCTCCTCCTCCTCCTCCTCCTCCTCCTCCTCCTCCTCCTCCTCCCCCGCCCCCTCAGCAGCAGCAAGATCAACACCACCATCAGCAGCCGCATCCTCATTAGCACCATCACGATCATCGTATCAGCATAATCAGTAGCATTAGCATCATCAGTATCATCAGTATCATCAGTATCATCAGTATCATCATCATCATCATCATCATCATCATCATCATCATCATCATCATCATCATCATCATCATCATCATCATCATCATCATCATCATCATCATCATCATCATCATCATCATCATCATCATCATCATCATCATCATCATCATCATCATCAATCATCATCATCATCATCATCATCATCATCATCATCATCATCATCATCATCATCGCATCATCATCATCATCAGCATCATCATCATCATCATCATCATCTCATCCTCATCATCATGCTCATCCTCATCCTCATCCTCATCCTCATCCTCATCATCATCATCAGCATCATCATCATCATCATCATCATCATCATCATCATCATCATCATCATCCTCATCCTCATCATCATCATCATCATCATCCTCATCATCATCATCGTCGTCATCATCATCAGCTTCATCATAATATTCATCATCATCAGCAGCAGCAGCGGCATCAGCATCAGCATCAGCATCAGCAGTATCATCTGCATCATCATCAGCATCATCATCAGCACCAACATCAGCATCAGCATCAGCAGCATCATCAGCAGCAGCATCATCGTCATCATCACCAAAAACCTCATACTCATCATCATCATCATCATCATACTCATCATTGTCATCGTGATCAGCATCGTCGTCATCGCCATCATAATCATTAGCATCATCAGCATCAGCATCACCATCATCATCAGCAGCAGCATCAGCATAAGCATCAGCATCACCACCAGCAGCATCATCAGCAGCAGCATCAGCATCGAAAGAATCACTCGAGCCAAAACATGCGGTGAAGACGAACATGAACTAACATGCGGGTGGGCCGAATTACGGTGAATGGAAGTGGGCCGAGCTGGGCCCCCAGCTGGGTAAAGCATGCCGCCAGAACCCCTTCTACTCCTGCTTGGATAGAGGTGTATCTCTGCCCCTGATCCCCCATATCCTGAGATGGGGGTATTGTTTTAGGTGTGACGCCTCCGCCTCCTTCCTCTCTGTTGCGATGTGAATCGCACTCAGTCGCTCATACTTCCAGAAACTCACACTCGGGTTCCGTCACACACAATCTCCCTCCCACAGACACTCAAACTCAGCACGGTCATATTCATATTCACTCATACTCAGACTCACTAATGCTCAGGTTCGATCACACTCAGACTTCATACTCAAACTTATGCCCCGCATCCTGAGATTAGGCCATCGTTACCCATATCCTTAGATAGGGCGATTGCTTTGATTGGTGTGACGCCTCCGCCTCCTCACACCTCCCGCCTCCTCCCTTCTCCCTCCTCGTACTCTGGCATCCAGTCACGCTTATGCTTACCACATTCAAACTCAACTCCAATCGCACTCGTTCTCAGACAATTCACACGGAAACTCATCCACCCTCAGACTCACTCGCAGTGAGACTCACCCTTCTAATACCAGAGCTTGCTCCCGCACAACGCACAACGAGCACATACACTAAGTCGCTCACACCCCTGATCAGCAACACGTAGACAACTCGCATTCCGAGACACGCACTCACTCACTCACTCACTCACTCACTCACTCACTCACTCACTCACACACACTCATTCACATACTCAGTCACACTCGGACTTGCTCACGAGAGTTTAATGCTCATCGCAAAATAGCAGGCGATTGGGCACCCCAAAGGCAAACCGCGTGAGACACTGCAGAAAAGCGAGAAGCACGGCGATACCTAATTCTTCTGGAGTCTCGTTGGCGGCCCCATGTGGCTCCAGATGGCGACACGACTGCTCAAGACGGGACCGGCTGTCCCCAAGATGAGACCCAGACGGCCCGAGACGGCTCCAAGATGAGGTCAGACGGCTCCAAGAAGCCATGAAGACGCCACAAGAGGGCTCCGAGAGGACAACCAGGAGGTCCCCCGAAGCAAAAATCACTGACATCCCTTCGGCTATTGAGTGACATTCGCATTCTCGCCTTATCCACCTTCCGACGTTCCAAGACGGTCCACGAGGCACCCAAGATCGCCCCAAGATGGCCCAAGAGGCCCCCCAAAGTGCCCCAACAAGGCCATAAGACTACCCAGGAGGCCCCGAAGACGGCCTAAAAGAACCCTGAGAAGGCCCCAGGAGGGACCCCAGAGGGAGAACGCGAACCGACAGCTCCAGATTCCCGCCCCAGGGACGCCCACGGGAGGCCCCACGAGGCCCAAAAAACAACCACCACGGCCTCCCCCCCAAAAAAAGCCCCAGGAAAATCCCGAGGGAATCCCACTAAAACCCTCCAGAGAGCTCCGCGGGGCCTCCCCCCCCAAAAAAAGCCCCAGGAAAACCCCGAGGGAACTCCGCAAAAACCCCCGAGAGAGCTCCGCGGGGGCCCCAAAGGGGCCTCCCCCCCCCCAAAAAAACAGGAAAACCCAGAGGGAACCCCATAAAAAAAACCCGAGAGAGCTCCGCGGGGGCCCCAAAGGGGCCTCCCCCAAAAAAAGCCCCAGGAAAACCCCGAGGGAACCCCACAAAAAAAAACCCGAGAGAGCCCCGCGAGGGGCCCCAAAAGGGCACCGAGGGCACGCCCCCAGGAGGGCCTCGAGGGCCCCTCCGCGCGGGGGGGCCCGCCGTGCTCCGCCCGGCGGGCCCCGGGCCGCGTCGGCCGTGCTCCCCCAAAAAGAAACGGTTTCGCAACACGGGCGTTCCACAACAAGAAACGCGCGCTCTTGCGAATTCTTATCAGGGGGACGTAAGACCTGGGCACAGGGGACTCGGAAATCCCCGACGAGGTCAAAAAATGACGAGGCCGAGCCTGCATTTTGACGAGGCCTCCCGCTGCAGACATCCCACGAAACTCCTCCTCGTCAAAATCCAAGGCGCGGTCGTCGGAAAACGATGGTGAAGCCGAGTCCTGGCAAACCCGGGTCTTACGCTCCCCCGATCTTAACACAACCACCGGTTTATGTTCAACATGTCCAACAAATGCCACCAAACGGGGCTCGCGGGCGCGAGTGTCGAGATCGTTCGAACGCCCCTTTCGCGCGTGCTGTGGCGAGGACCCCTTGCAAAAAACGGGACGAAGTGCACACAGGCGCGCGTCGTCGCGCGCGCATGCCGGAATCCTTCAAAAGTGTCGTACCGATTTTTAAACCGAATATCCAAAACATGCAAAAGCACACATGGTTTCGCAACATCAATTTTCCAAAAAGTTTGCGCGCGCGCTCTTGTGAATCCCTTTGTTTCTTGCTGTTGGTGGAAAAACATGTTCATGGAATTTTGCCAAACGGGCCTCTACCGCCGCGTGCCGACATCATTCGCGCGCCATTGCGCGCGTGCTGAGGGGCACGATCCGTGTCAAGTCAAACCATGCGGGCCAGTCTCGCGCGCCGGCCGCGGGCACATGTCGAACTCTTTCCAAAACCTTCATCACCGACGCGAGGACGCCGTCATCGTCGTCGGCGTGATCAGAGTCGGCGCCCGCACTGGCCGCGCCTTCGTCGGTGCGAACATCGTCACCAGCATCGCCACTATCATCATCATGTCTACCGTTGTCGGCGTTGCCATGATGCCGTGCCCGCCCAACTCGCCGACTCGCAGTGAAGTGCCCGTTGGGTTGCGCCCAGCGGTCAGCGCCACCGCGGCCGCGCCGGCGGCGTCAAACTAGCTGGCCGCTGCGCGGGCGTGCTGGGGTTGGCGCGGCCGCAGAGATGCACCAACCATCGCCAAGCATGCATCGCAATTGCCACCGCAAGGGCTTTGCAAACCAAGTTGCGGGTGGGTGGGTGGGATGTTTGCAAGAGCGTGCGATGTGTCAACTCGCTTGTAAAAACAGATCGCGCCACATACATCCCCCGCTCAGCAGGAGAATTTGGACCAACCCCACTTACCCTCCCCCTTCCCCCTCCGGGATGAAGCGCCCACCCTGGGGATGTGCAAGTGACACATGATCCTGCCCCGTCGCTGATTCCAAGTATGAACTCATACCATCCCAGCCGCGCCAGCATCGACATCTTCCCTCATCCCTTCCCAAAAGATAATGCGCACACACTCGTTAATCAAAAACCACCAATTGAAAAAAACAACCTGGCAACAAAAATTGGACGAAGTGCTAACGCGCGCGTCGTCGCGCGCGCATGCCGAAATCCTTCAAAATCCGTACGATTTGTAAAGATGTCGAAGTCGAGGGCCCCAGAAACATGTAAAAACACATGGTTTTGCAACGTCAGCTTTCGAACAAAGTCTGCGCGCGCGATGTTGTGAGTCCCTAAGAAAACGATTCGACTTTTAACAGTTCATCACATGCGACCACACGGGCCTCACTCGCACAAGCCGCATCATTCCAGCGACCTTGCGCGCGTGCGGGGGGGGCGGGGGGGGGGCACAATCCCTGTCAAATAGCACCATGCGGGACACTCGCGCCCGTCGGCCGCGCGCGCATGTCGAATTCCTTCCGAACGTGACTTTCGTTCGTGGAAGTGGTTGTCCTACTCGTTTTCCTAATACGTAGTATTTGTTTTGCCGTTACTCTTGGTACCTGCTTTGATCTCTAATAACAATTCATTGAGATATATGTTTGTTGTTGTTATTTTTTTGTTCCTCCTCGTCCTCCCCCTTCTCCCCCCTGACCAGGACGGGGGGCGGGAACGCGCCGCCTGCGAGGGGCTGGCAGCGACTTGCGCCAGCGCAGGATCCGCCGAGGC